AGGTCCGAGACCCACGATCCCCCGCCATGCGCGCTCACACCGTGTCATGCCCGCCTAAAGCGCGAGAGCGTTCATACACAAACATGGCGGTGACCAAATCTGGCCGCACCGTGGACACAAAGACGGTTCGCTTCTACACCTCTCATCACACATGCAGCTAGCTATAGTTCGTGAAGTAAACATGCACTACTTAATTACATAAATGACTATGCAAGATCATGCACGGGATTATCTAACATATCACCCCATAATCCCGCCAAGACATCAACTACTCCCATTCTTGCCGTAGCTCAATGAACTGACTTTGCCAAGTGCCTTCGTCGGGATGTCTCGCCAATTGGTTCGCATGCTCACATGATCAATGTCAATCTTGCCATTGTCAACACACTCTCTCACAAAGTGGTATCTTGTGTCTATGTGTTTACTCCATTCATGATGAACTGGGTTTTACTCGTAGCTATGGCGGACTTGTTGTCAACTAGAGTCGACTTTTGGAGCTTGAATACCGAAAGCGCTTCACTCAATAGACGATCGAGCCAAATGCCTTGACACGCTGCATTAGCACTTGCAATATACTCAACCTCACAGGATGAAAGAGCAACTACCCTCTGCTTCGCGGACACCCATGTAACCTGATTCATGCCAATGAAGAATCTTGAGCCATCGGTACTCTTTTTGTCATCTATGTCGCCACCAAGTCACTATCACGCTGAAACCAAGCGATCGGGTTCGAGATTCCTGATCTTGTGTATCCGACTCATAACTTAGTGTTCCAAAGAATGTACCGTAGTATCTCGCTTCACACCTGCCCAATGACTCGCCCTTGGATTCTCCATGTGTCTACTGACAATGCCTACTAAATAAGCAATATCTGGTCTTGTGTTCACAAGATATCTCAAGTCGCCAATCACACTCCTATACTTTGTTGCATCAAGCGGAGGGGATTTATCTTCTTTGCTCACCTTCAACTTGTTCTCCATCGGGACATGGCAGGAATTGCAGCCTTCCATTCCTGCTTGCTCTAAAATTTTCAGAGCATAAGAACTCCGACACAAAGTTGTTTCCCTCTCCTTCCGAACTACACTGAATTCCCGTGTAATATGAGAGCACACCTAGGTCACTCATATTGAAGCTTTCCATCATTTGTTTCTTGAATGGATCAATGCTCTCCTTACTTGGCCTGTGATGATTAGATCATCCACATATACACCCACTAACAAATAATTGCTCTTATACTCAAATTCTTACAGATAATCTTGCATGCTCTAGAGTGTTTCGACAAAGCCAAGCTTCACAAGCTCCTTATCAAGTCTTGCATTCCAAGCACGGGGTGCTTGACGCAGCCCATACAAAGCCTTTTTCACTTTGAGTACCTTTCCACTCCCTTCTCTACAACAAAGCACGGAGGTTGTTGTACATACACCTCCTCAACCAAGTCTCCATTTAGAAATGCTGATTTGACATCCATGTGGTGCACCTTCCAACCACTTCTTGCTGCCAATGCTAACAACAGCAGTCTCACTTGTTTCTACTGAGAGCCATCGCAGCGCCAACACCCTCTTCAAAGTCCACCCCTCACGCCGAGCATAGCCTTTGGCCACTAATCTGCCTTGTGCTTGATCACATTACCTCACTTGGATCTTTCTTAACCTTGAACACCCACTTAAGGCCAATAGCACGATGACCTGCGCAGTAAGTCCGCTAGCTCCTAGGTTTTGTTGGATTGAATTGATTCCATTTCTGCAGCCATTGCTTCCCTCCAAGACTTTGCTCACTCAAGGCCTCATCTACTCCGTTTGGTTCTTCTGGCATGCTAGACAACACATCCCACTCAGTACTCAAAATCGCTTAACTCTTCAGTAGTGTCATTTATATTCTCCAGTGTTCTGAATCTCATTGGTATGCCCTCTGAGTTCACTGATTCTCCTGTTGGTGGTGATGCAAATTCTATTCCTTGTCCAGCTGGGCTTCCCGGAGGTGTTGCTTGAGTTGGTGTATCACCTGACCCAGTACCCACTGACCACTGACCACTGACCAGAGGAGGGTGATGATGCATCTGGAACAGACGGGTTCTCTGAATCTTGAGTCCGAACTCGAACCTTCACCCATTCTTGTTCCTGTCCAAAGAATAGTGAAATGCTCCACTTCAAACGCAGGGACAGCTGGTTCTACCGGGGATTCTTCACTCCACTTCCAAGCTCGATTTTCTTCAAACATCACATCTCGAGATATGTGGAGTTTCTTTGTCACAGGTTCATAGAATCTGTAACCCTTTGTCCCAGTTTCATAGCCTATGAACACCATCATTGTTGACCTATCTAAAAGTTTGGAAATTCCAGGGCCAACCTTCTTGACATGGGCCACACAGCCAAATGTTCGAAGATGATGAACCTTAGGCTTCTTGTTGTACCACGCTTCATAGGGTGTCCTGCCTTGGAGGCTCCTCGTCGGGGCACGGTTCAACAGATACACTGCAGTGCGGACTGCTTCTCCCCAAAACTCTCCAGGCACTTTCTTGCTCTTCAGCAGACACCTAGCCATCTCCACCACTGTACGATTTCGGCGTTCCACAACACCGTTTTGCTGTGGTGTATACAGTGTGGTGGTGAAATGCTTTACTCCATTCTCATCACAGTACTCCTTGAATTCGATGGAATTAAACTCTCCACCGCGATCACTGCGAAAAGCTCGAAGCCTGCATCTTCCTTCAGTTTCTGCCAAAACCTTCACCTTCTTAAAACACTTGAAGGCCTCATCTTTTGTTGTCAGAAACTCCACCCACATATAACGGCTATAATCATCAACCAAAAGCAAAAAATAACTCTTACCCCCCAGTGTCTTTGGCTTGATCTGGCCACATAGATCAGCATGGATCAGATCTAATGGGCTGTTGGCTCTGTAATTGGCCACCTGAGGAAACGGGTGTCGACACTGCTTTCCAAGTGCACAACCATCACAAACTTCTTCCACCCGGTCAATCAACGGTAATCCCTCGACCATCTCTTTGGCTCCAAGTTCTCGGATCGCTCGGAAATTGAGATGTCCATAACGAGCATGCCAGAGCCAGGCCTTTTCATCTGTTTTTGCAACTAAACAGACAGGTTCAGAGATGTGCAGCTTCAACAGATACAGACGGTTCTTGACCCGAGGTGCTTTTGCCAGCAATGAGCGCTCAGCATCAAACACATTACAGAACCCATTCTCAATCACAATTTTGAAACCACTCTCTTCCAATTGGCCTAAACTCACAATATTACTCTTTAATTTAGGGATAAGATAGACTTCAGTGAGTACCTTGTGCCCCTTTTCTTTGGTCTGAAACACAACAGAGCCGATGCCAACGATCTCAACGAGTGATCCATCCCCAAAACGCACCGTGCCTCGCACAGACGTGTCGAGCGATGACAGCACCTCTCTGCACCCCGTCATGTGATTACTGGCCCCCGTATCAAGGACCCAAACATCCTTGCTTTCATCTCGGTCAGCTGGGAGCACCTTCTTCTCATTGAGATGAACAACTTGATCCCACGCGCTCGACAATGACGCAGCGGTGGTGCGATGTCCTCCTCTCAACGTGCACGGAATTCACCGTTGCCGACATCAATGCCGGTGATGATCTCGCATCCGCTTTGCACATGGTGGGCTTCTTCTTTACGTTCCTTCTTGGGAGGCCTTTTACGATCCTGTTTCCGGTGGACCGTAAATTCCACGATTTAAGCACCTTCCTTTGCGGCGTGGTGTACCCTCCGATGTCGCCTTCAGACCGGCTCCTTCTTCTCACCGCGCCCACCGCCTTACGCTTGGCGGGTTGTACCCGCCTTGCTTCTCTCTCTCCCACCAGAGGAAGACGACTGAATTAGACGGTGACGGTACTTGGACAGCCACTCCTCCTCTCGACAAAGATGAGACGCCTTGGTTCGCTCCGTGACGGAGTCGACCTCGAACCGGTCCTCAGCCGCCTTCAGACGCCCCACCAGATCTTCAATCGACAGGGTCTTGACATCCAGCAGTATCTCGATGGACACTACAATTTGGGCATAGCGCTTCGGGAGAACTCGCAACATCTTCTTCACGACACGAGCGTCATCGATGGACTCCCCGAGCCCACGCAGTTCCTCCGCGAGCGCATTGATGCGCAGCGCGAAGTCGTCGACCATCTCACCGTCTTTAAACGTGATGTTCTCGAACTCCTGAAGCAGTCGCTGGGCATGGGCTTCTTTCACCCTATCAGCACCCAACCTCATGCTTTTCACCGCCGCCCACGCCTCCTTCACCGTTTTCTTGGCTCCCAGCATCGCCCACATCTCCTTGGGTACGGACCGGAGAAGACCTCCCATGGCCTGCCGATCTTGAGCTCGCTTCACGCCTTCGCCGCCGGGCTCGATCGTCTCCCAGATCTCGAGCGTTTCATAGTTACACTGCATGAGCATGGCCCACTCCGAGTAGTTGGAGCGGGTCAACATTGGCCACATGAGTGAACTCTCCCGAACGCGGTCGCCGGTGCTTGAGGACGATCCGTCGCCGCCCATAGTGGCATGCGGCGATCTCCGAGGAACGACGAGCTTCTTGTGAGGTGGTTGGCGCGGTGGACTCACCGAGCCATCGTAGAACATACAATGTGGCTCTGATGCCAGATGTTGGCGCCGGCTGCCGGAATCTGCAGCTCGACGGTGATCGGCAACGACGGCGATCACGCGCACGACGTCGCTCACTCACGCGCACGACGTACTGAACGCGAGAGAATGGCGCTGCCAAACGTTGCAGCTTTTCTGGTTTTCTTTGTTGCCTTTTATTCATGGTGTATACAAGGTCTGAGACCCAGGATCTCTACCTGTGCCATGCCCGCCTAAAGCGCGAGAGCGTTTCGTACACAGCATGGCGGTGACCAAATCCTGGCCGCACCGTGGACACAGCACGGTTCTGGCTTCTACACCTCTCATCACACATGCAGCTAGCTATAGTTCAGGAAGTAAACATGCACTACTTAATTACATAAATGACTATGCAAGATCATGCACGGGATTATCTAACAGCGGTGGCGGGAAGATCAGTGACCCTGTGCTGGACTGCGTGAGGATGGCGTTGAAGACATGCACCGGCGGCTCTTGCACCGTTTCTTTCCTCTTCTTTTTCTTCTTGATCACCATTGCAGGAGATGAGTGCGTGCTCGCGCCTCCGACGACTGTCTCTGGGCCGCCGGCCATGGAGGCGGTGTCGTTGTACGTTGTGGCATACGTGGTAGAGTAGGCATTGCCAGCTGTGGCGGCAGCGGTGGGAGTGGCCGACGCGCCGTACGGCGCCAGGTAGAGGCGGAGCGCGACCTCGCCGCGCGCCGGGGCGAAGAAGCTGGGCTTGTCGAGTGGGCAGCGTAGGAGCACGGCCTCCTGGGCGAACGGCGCGACGGCCGCGCCAAACAGGCGGACGCGACCGAGGCAGCTCTTGCGGCCGGAGCTGCGCCGGTGGTAGACCCCGACGTCGATGGAACGGTCCGAGAGCCGGCCGGAGATCGCGTCGACTACGAACACGACCGTCTCGTTCCACGTCGGGTTGGCCTCGCCGGGCCTCACGCCGGTCGCGTGGCGCTGGCTGCCGAACGCGATCTGCACGAACGGGGTCACGCGGCCGTGCCTCGCCGGCAGGTCGAGCGCGCCGACGACCTCGACCACCAGCTTCATGCTGTAGCGCACGACGACAGTATCCTCGAAGGGTTTGGTCTGATGTCGAATACTCGAATGTTACCTACTTCTGCATGGGTATATTTCACGGAAATGTAGAATGCTGCAGACTTGCAGAGTGTACGCATGGCTTCCGGGTCAATCCTACGTCATGCTGAGATTAGGGTTTATAACCTGATTAGGGAGGGTGTCATTTTCTGGTGCAAATTCATCGTGCAATTGTAACCCATTGGCTAAACACATGTCTGCGATGGCGACACAAGCATAGTTGTAAACTTGTGTATCGCCCATGTTGGCTAGATTGGAAATGGCGATGATGACAGATAGGCGAATAGAAAGGAAGACGAGCCAACGGTGGGGCCCCCCTACCGATCCTGGCCACGTGAGCATCTCCAAGAGTTACTTAAATATTCCTCCTAAAATGTCTATGTTTACTAATTTCTAAAAATGTTTTAGGAGAAAAAAATAAGTTTATCTCCAATAGTTCCTAATATTTTACTTCTACAAAATTAAATGCTGGTCTCATTTGATGTTTTTTTTCTGCAGTCTTTTTTTTTCCACGCGAACCTCTTTGTCGCCGCGCGTCGTCGTCGTCGTCGCACCAGTACTTCTTCGCTAGTTGCACACACAGCACCAAAAAGAGTACGAGTAGTCAGACGTAGGAGTACCACGTACGTATGCGCGCGCCCCAGCCCACGGTACACGAGACATGCACATATACATACATGCGCGCATGTAGAGGCGTATAGCTAGCCGTAGAGGCATGGCCACTGCCGCTTGCCGTACGTATGTGTACCGTGTACGTACGTGGTGCTTGCTACGTCTTCACTTGAACGCCTCGGCGAGCACGTCGAGCGGTGGGAACAGCGAGAAGCCGCCGTGCCGGCCATGGAACAGTCCCAGCTCTTCGCCGGCGAAGTCGAGGAACATCTGGTACTCCTCCAGCGCCTCCGCCACCTCCGTTTCGTTGGACTCCGCCGAGAAGTCGTCCCCGGGGCCGAGCAGCAGCGCCTGCGGCTCCTGCTTGATCATCATCGCGTCATGCTTCCTCTTGATGACGGGCGCCGGAGGAAGAAGCGCGGGCACCCCCGCCGTCTTGCGGTTCCGGCGGAAGGAGTCCCCAATGTCCGAGCTCCACAGGCGCAGGAAGATGTCCACGGGCTTGGCACAGCAGGCCTTCAAGTCCACGGTGGAGGAGGACGAGGAAGCGGAGGTTGCGGCCTACCGGTGGCAGCAGCAGCAACCCGTCGACACCGACCCTCCGCTGCCGCACCAGGCCGCTGCAGCAGCCGGCGGACCCCGCCCCCGTGACGCCACCGCCCTCCGCGCGTGGCTTCGTCCGCGTAAAGTTATGCGGAAGGGGGAGGAATTTCCTAAGTCCTAAAAGATTATGAGTAAATATTATGAGTTATTGGAGAGGATTTTTTTCCCATCTTTCTAAAAAACAAGGATTAGGAGGATGTTTAGGGAACTCTTGGAGATGCTCTAAGCCCTCTCTTAAAATTTTATGCATATATGTATTAGGTAGGAGGGACTAAGGTTAAGAGAAAATAAAAAAGCCTCTATTCTTTTGTTCAGTCCCTCCTAAATTTTTTTCTGGCTTCGTCCCTCGCTATAGCCAAGTACAAGCTGAACCAAGAAACCCAATTGATGATATAGAAACACTAAGGAGATTTAATCCGAATCTGGTGTTCACTTATGCAATGCTAAATCAAGTCTTGTGACCAGGTCACCACCACCCATTGGTCTACACTTTCCCGTGTGTGTAAGTGTGTGTTGTATGCAATGCATGCATCATCTTGCGTTGTGACGTTGCTGACGGTACAATGCAACGATGATATTTGCCCAACTTTGTTTGACTCCGAATTCCTAAGCACAATCATTCGGCCCTTTTTGTATTAGTACGTAGTCTCTTGGTTACAAATTACAAGTCTTGTTCCAAAATATATGTAAACATAATGTATATCTATGTGCATAGAGAAAACTATGTACTTGAAAAAACAGAAAAACAAAATGACTTATAACTCGAAATACAGCCAGAGAGGGGGTAGTTACTACTAATAAGCTTAAGCGTTTGCTGCATTGACTTGTCCATACATGCAAACATGATCTTCCACAGTCCCGCCGGCCCTCTACACACACAGTGAGACTCTATTCTTGTGTTTGGTTTTCAAGTTTTGGCCGACATGTCTCACATTCCAAATGACCTCACCCTCACTGGATTAAGCTCTCCAAATATTAGCTCATCATTCAGGGGCAAACTGGAGATGCTGACGCAAGCAATCATCAAGGGCTACAAAAGATTCCTGTGGGACACAACAGAAACATATAAACACATCGTTGACTTGAGATACACTCATATGCCCTGGTCTTCCTAAAGAAACAGTATCTTTGCTTGCCACTGTGGATTTCTTGCGTATATCCTACATGGACAGCCAATTTGGCGAGAGCGACCTCATTGAGAACCCAAATTGGTTCTAAAAAAATCGGGCAAGATAACATTGACACATCATAAGAAATGGTTGGGAAGTAGTACATCCCTATTTTCTCTACACTGATGACTTCCAGCAAGTTACTGATCTTATATGAACTTGACATCTGTTATACACTGATGACTTCCAGCAAGTATTTTTCAGAATTCAGTGTGCAAACACGCTACAAAAATATTCCGGCTGTTGTGGATGCTTCTCTGATTACAAGATTGAGAGTTCCTATCCAACAAGTGGAACGCTTATATACCCTTTAGGGCCTACTTGGCACAGCTCAGCTTCACTAATGAAGCTGTTTTTTTACAAAATAGCTTCATGAGCAGCTCTCTTGATGAAGCTGAACTGTTTTGAAAAAATTATTTGGCAAAACAGCTTCACATGATAGACCAAAACAGCTTCATTACGAACAATTACTATAATACCCTTAGCTTTTTCTTTTTCTTTTTTTTCTCGCTTCCTACGCATCGCAACAAAGGCCGCGACGACGGCGCCATGGCCGTCGCCGAGGACTCCGTCAAGCAGCCACTCCTCCACCGCGCGTACCCGTCCCACGTCACGTCGGCCTCCTCGCCCACGCTCCTGTCCGCGCCCCCGAGGTCCACCGGCCACCACTTCCCTGGGGGACTCGACATCCCCAACCTCAAGAAGCACGGCGGCGGCACACGTGGATCCGTGTCGAGGCCGCCACGGCCTCCGTGCAGACGTTGGAGATCGACATGTCCACCATGATGCGGCGCTGCGACCTCCCCGCGTGGGACCTCCGCCTGCTCGACCTGCTCTTCGTGTACCCGTCCACGGTCCTGGGCGTCAACCTCGAGCAGATCCGGTGCGCCATCACCGCCGATGAGGTGCTCCTGCTCACGGCGACACCCATCACGTCGGCCCACGCCCCCAGGGTGGCCTCTCCCAGTGGCCCACGCCCCCCCCCCATGACCCACACGCTTTGGCCAAGGCACGCATGAGCGCCCGACACTCCCATGCTTGGCGGCGGCACTGCCCGCACTTCTCTACTTGGATGAAGCGTCTTTTTGTATGGTGGGCCCCACATGTGTCAGCTAAAGATGTGATAAGCTACTTTTTTTTTAGCTCTCTCCCATCCCATTCCTTTGTGAGAGGGGAAGAAAAACAGCTTCACCCATGAAGCTGTTTTGAAAAATGGTGTTTGGCAAAAAAAAAAACTCACAACAGCTCATGAAGTAAATTTGTGACAAACAGGCCCTTAGTGTCAAACAAGTTGGGATATGCTAGAAATGTGACATCATGCGAACCAAAGAGAACGAAAAAAGTAGTACTAAAATGAAAACAATACTATAGTCCAGGAATTAATGACATACTCCGTAGTAATAGAATAAATCAAATTCCTAGATCATGGCATGGACAGGAGACATTTTAAGTAGTTTCTGACAGTCGAAGAAAAATTGGATGGATGATCACTACAAAAGTGCCCAGTGCCCTTCACAAATACTGCCCCAGAAACAGTCAAACTAGACAAAGATAGGTCTACAATTGTCATTCGGCCTAGAATTCTGCAAACCAACCAAAGCAGCTGATACAGGCATGTGCTGAAGTCTACTTCAAATTTTCAATATACTTTCAAGTGCAACAACAAAAAATAAATAAATCAAACACATTAAGAACATAAACTTAACTTCAATATATTAGCCTGCTTATACTACAAAGGGGATATGGAAACTGGATGTGGCAACTCATAAGAGGAGCAAATCTAGCCCACTGGATTCTGCACTGCGGTAATATTCATCAATGTACTCCTACAATTGACCAAGAGAGGCCACACAAAAAGAACCTAAATGTACTTTCCAGTACTCTGACTAATTCCCCAACTAATAGGTATACATTTATCAGGGCAGTTCCACACTTCCATGGCGGAAGATAGGCCAAAAAAAGATGAAGAGAGTAACCGAAGGGAGAGCGACCTCCTGTGTAGTTTCAAAAGTTAATCAGAAGCTCAAGGTATTACTCTGCACCATACTGTGACAAGACATGCTAACAGCCTCGACCAAGTTTAGTCGCATTTGATATTTCTGTAGATTCTCCTCACAAATAGGGTGGAGCCCAAATACCCAACAGCACCTACATATACACATAGAAAGGGTGTCAAGAGGACATATGTAAGCTTGAAATGAAATGAAAAATAGTTTGAAAACTCACCTCAAAGTATTCCCAATCCAAGACAGAACATCAAGGTGTAACCAAAGTAGAAGCTTGTCTGGAAAAAGCCTGACATCTTTGTCTTCACATGATAATAGTATATAGAGTATAGATATACATACAAGGCGGTAGAAGCAGCAGAGAAGAATGATGTCCATTGCCAATGATAGTTCTCAGCATTCAACAAGAAATAAGTACCCACAATAGTGACACATATGATGACTATTATCAGGATGACAAAGACCAGCAACATGAAACCATAGACATAGTACACCTGCCAAGGCACCAAGTGATGGACTCAATATTCCTTGAAACTAAAAGAAACAAACTTTGCTGCTGTAACTAAGAAAGTAGTGCAGATCATTCTAAATGCTGGTGATTGGAACTTTAGTACTTCCAATTCCAATAGGTGGAATATTTACCAATGTATTGTTTTTCTTTACCTTGTAGTTCCAGAAGGAAGTGAATACGAAGTACATCTCAATGAAGATACTGCCAAAGGGGAGAAGTCCACCTATCAATGAAATAACAGAAGGTGTAAGGTACCACTTCTTCTCAGGAATAGGGCGTGGGATCGTTTTCACACGACACGGGTTGTTGGGAGCACCACTCCAATTTCTACCAACTACAGTCCCCAATAGAACCAACGGGAAGGAGATGAAAGCCCAAAGAACAAACATGACAACCATTGTGCCAAATGGTATAGCTGCTAATGATCGGTAGAAGATAGCAATAGTGTTCAACACCAATCCAATCGAGAAACACAAGAATGGAAAAAGTGATGCTGTAAGGATCATAGCCTTTATCCAGTTTTTGCCTGCCATAGTATGAAGTAGTGCATTCAGTGAGGTGAAGAACAAGGTAACAGGAAATTTTCAAATTCAAGAATCTATTTATTGGAGCAAAATAACATGGGTAAGCATAACAGAGGACTTAAATAAAAAAAATGTGCAGAATCATACCACCATTCCTTGAATAGAGACCACCACTAACATATCCAGAGATGAAAGATGTAAGAGCATAGCACACAATAAAGGTTGTGATGATAGCTCCTCGCCTGTGAATAGAACAAAGTATTTTAGTTAGGGGCTTGAGCAAAATGTTAATGCATACCCATACAAGGTGAGCAATATCCTTGTTGATTAAAACTGAAGTCTGTACAAGTGCAACTTATGAGAGGTTGTGGTGATGGCATCATATATCTGATAGAATAGAGCATATATGCTGATCTCTAAGAATAGTTTTGCATCTACGTTACTGATGTACTCACATAATGCTTAAAGCAGGAAGGAATGCAGGATTCTAGTAATTTCTATGTTACAAATTTTCCATGCTCTCCGAGTCTGAACAATGGATGGGTTGTAAAGTCTGGGTCGCTCGCTCATGCACATCACATCTCATGGAGCACTATTCCAGATGTCAATAGAGGGATTTTGCCAAAGGTATTGCCACATTATGCAAAAGCATCCATTTTTATCTAAACATCCTACAGTGGTCATAAATCAAAATCAGAGACTAATAACCTACCAAAGACATCAATTGCACCATATCATTTCGTCTAAAAAGAAATATGATTAATTTAACCATAAAACAAGAACGCCCTTTGAAAGCTAAGCCATTCTTATTCATAATTTTCAGGTTCAGATAAATATATTGATTAGCCAAAATACTTTCATCAATTAAACACCTGAATTTTGCACATCCAAGGCAGAAAAAAGTAAATAAAGAAAGCTGGTTATGAGCTTACCCAACATATAACATGCCAACAATGGCCAACACAATCACAAGCAGGATAAGAGCTGCCAGCTGAGTGCCGATACCAACAAGGGCAGAAAGAAACACCAGGCTGCGAGGAGGTCGGAACACATCACCATGAACAAGCTTCCACCCGGTTCCTCATTAACATCTCGCTCCTGAAAAAGGAAAACCATATCTTAATCCTGAACAATCCATTGATTCAAAGAAAAACTTGTTACTTGGAACTTGTATGATTCAATTTGATTTTTGGTAAAAATTGATTTGTTTGTATGATTCCAGACTTGAAAGGATGGAATATACCCAAAGACTTAGCCTTAGATAGGAGTGCTTGGAAAACAGCTATTCACGTGCCTGAACCTTGATTGCTTCTGCTGGGTTTCAACTCTAGCCTACCCCAACTTGTTTGGGACTTAAAGGCTTTGTTGTTGTTGTTGTGTTATTTCTTTCGAAATAATGAAATATTAGATTCTTTGGCGTGAAAATGGATGGATTATAATAATCTCATAATGTTTGGCTAAAGGATTTTTCTATTTTAGAAATATCATATGATATAGATAAAATCAATCGAGAAAACATTAAGTAACATGAGCAGACAAAATGAAAAACATATAAGTATATTGACGTGCTACAGATTCCAGGTTCAGAACTTACAAGTGATTCCAGATCGTCATCTTCACGAGCATATTTTGCATAATCATTTCTTAGTGTCCTCATCAATATCATTGACACTAAACCAGTCAAGAAAATAACCATCATGAATGAATTGAACATGGAGAACCAATGAATCTGAACATGGAAACAAAGACTCAGCCATCTTGTAATTACTTCAGACAAAAAGCAATGTCCACCTTTGTCAAAGGAGACCTAAGTTTAAAATGGTATGTTGCCTCTGGTGCAAGCAAGAATTACCTGGTGTTCAAAGAATGGGTAGTCTAAGTAAACCTCGAAACGCATGCGTGCAAATGCCACATTTGTTTGCACCCACTTTACTGAATAAGTCATATCCAACTTTTTACCAGCTTCAAGAAGCTTAGGTGACTCTTGCGTTAGATTCACATGAATTATCTGCAGAGGAAATTGAATTAGCCAACATATTGGTCTCAGCTAATCCTTTTAAGGTTATATACAACACATACCCTGTTACCATTGTATTTAATAACAATGTTCTTATGAGTGTAAAGGTAGTGCTTGTTCTCATTGTTTTTGTCAGTCTCCCCAACAAAACCTGCTCACAGGGAAACTGGCTCCATTATTTTAAAAGAAAATAGAAAGAATTTGTGCAATAGAAATGAACAGGTATAAAACCACCTACCCCACAATGGCAGATCATCTCGGTTATTGAACCACGGTAAGCATTGGAGCAAAATGTGGACACAAAGAATGTCAGAAACAAGATAAAGCATCCAAAAAATGTGGATCAGAATAAAACTAAATGAGGATTTTCCATACCTATGAAAAGCTCAAACCAATATGAGTTTTCAATGGCATTAGCAAATTGCTGAACCTTTTGAGCATCAAGTTCAATTGTGCAAATGGCCCCCTTGTCCACATTCTCTAAAACAAAAGGAACATTCGAATGAAAAGCCAATGAAATAAATCAATTCAGTCACAGGAACGAACATGCAACAATGCATGGTCCAAGAAATAAACAAACTTCAGGAGGATGTCAAGAGAAGGCAAGCATACTTATGAACTTTATATCGATCTGACTATCAATCAGCTCATTTCCACCAAGGACCTCTCCGAGACCACCCCATTTATGTGCAGGGTTTTCAGATGGTTGACAAAATGGGAGACTGTAATAGTTGTAAGTTTCTTGAGGATTATTGTAAGGCCCAACCTTGTTTACCCATAGCTTAACAGGTTCTTCTGTTTTATACTGCACATAAGAAAAATAATAATTATTTTAGCTGCAATGCTTTAGTAGATGAATCATTCTCATCATAGTTAAATTCAGTACAGGTAAATTTTGAAAAGACAACAACATTTAAGCTGGTTCTGGTTGTAGGAAACAAGTTTTCTGAATATTGTTGCCTCAGTGTAACAGTGTAAGATATAGAGAAGTATAGCGATCATGACCACTAAATGTTTAATTTGGAACAGCCCCAACCATATAAGGAAAAAGAGCTCTAATATTTCTTAAGCTCATGGATTCAATCTTCTATCTTATAATCACTAATCATCAGAGATGTAGATATTTCATGGACTCAACACAGAGCAGCCTTCTAGTCAGAAATAGAAATGTAAGCAGTCTAACTAGGACTTTCACAATATACATATGTAGATGTTTTATTTACCTTACTAATCACAAGTTTCTGAATGGCGGGCCTGGTGCAAGCGGTAGAGTCTTACCGCCTGTGACCGGAAGGTCCCGGGTTCGAGTCGCGGTCTCCTCGCATTGCACAGGCAAGGGTAAGGCTTGCCACTAACACCCTTCCCCAGACCCCGCACAGAGCGGGAGCCCTCTGCACTGGGTACGCCCTTTTTACTAATCACAAGTTTCTGCCTAATGACATCAATGCCTGACTTTACATCACAGAGTAACACTCACCATACAGAAGACGACTCAAAGTAATTATTCTGACAGGTCTAAGTGCAATTAGCCAGTTACACTCAGCATGAAACTAAAATAATGTCCAAAATAGAACTGCTTCCCCCAGGACATTGCTGCAAGGAACTGCCACTGTGCTAAAGCTAATCCCTTGTTAGCTAACTGTGAGTAATCTAGTCCAGAATTTTAACAAAAAAATGGAGAATGAATATGTATTCGTCTTTGAACTATCAAATCAAATGCCACTAGTATTCGCCACAATGGGGGGCGGGCTTATCTGAAATCCCCACGATAACTACCAAATTAAAGTGTAGCATAACAACTGTAAGCCCACGAATCCACGATGATATGCATGCATTGTACCCTTTCCTAGACATGACATGCACCATCTAATAATCTGAATGCAAGACCAAGAAAACATGCATGCAGTTGCAAGCAAAAAGATGTCCCCTATATATGTTTAACCTTACACGAGGCCTACAATGACGCAACTAGAACCAGCTGCTTCTCCACGAGAATGTTAACACTGTCTGAAAGTTGCAAGCAAACAAAAAGGAACTTTTGTCTGAATATGGCTGTCATGATTTCTTGCCCACACCCCCATAGCAACCAGGATCAAAACAAGCAGTTTCTGAGACAGCACCCAAACCGTTGTCTCGCTCATCATAACTCCAAATCAGTAAGCGCCCAGAATTTGGCACCGCGGAGCTACAGACCAAAGCCGTCCCCTGGTACTAAGCACGCGGTCCCCCAGCGGCGCGCGGCGTCCAGATCCGGCGCGGTGCCTCGACGGATCCAGCCAAGGGAAGGAGTGTTCAGATCTAGGGTTGGGATGAAGGGGGGGCACCTTGTGGTCGGCCTCCGAGGCGTACGCGGGGGGCGAGTGTGCGACGGCGAGGAGGAGGACGGCCGCGAGGAGGAGCACGCCGCGGCGGAGCATCTCGTCTGCGGCGAGATCTGCGCGGTGGGAGGCGGCCGCGAGCGTGCTGCGGGGGTGTCTCAGTCTCGAACGAGCACGAGCTGCCGGAGTTTTGCGCAGAAGCCCTTGTGAAATGGTGTACTGTATTCGAGAATGTTAGGATATGATAACAGAGTAATCACGGGGCAAACGTGAGAAAAATCATGACAAAACCGTGTAAATGCATCACAGGCATCCTTCATCATTCCTTCTTCCCGTGTGCTGAAGGTACGTCAAAACACAAAACAGTGAAGAGCTTGGTACTCCTTCCATTTTTTTCTATATGTCCTATTATTATTATTATCTTATCTTAAGGCAATATTTATATCTTTGACTATACATTTCAAAAAAAATTATATGAGTTAATGATATAATATTTATATTTAAAAATCACTATAAGAAATACTTTTATAAATATAATAGTTGTATATTGTGAAATTATAAGGAGTTTTCAAATATTTGACCAAAGATAGTTGATGGGGAACAAAACTAATGTGACATGTGAGCCGAGAGAGTAATAGCCCATCTATTTACAAAATACAAACCATTTACTCATAAGTCAATATATAACATCTATTTTTTTCCAAATAATCTAACAACTAATTGATTTAATTAGATCTACCATGTATTGATAGTTTATTTATTTGGCATACTACAGATGGTAATATCAAAAGTATAGTTAGAGGTGCGCGAACTCACAAATTTAGGTGATCTGAAGTGGTCGATGATTTAATAAGTAAGTCAGTAAGTTAGAGTGAAAACAATTATGAGCAACAGTACATAAAAGGGCTCTTTATCACCATAATTTTTTTTGTGTATATCTTTCTTTCTTTTTATTACGTAAAAGGTTTGCACGTCTTTGTATTAAAATAGAGAAATTGTTCGATACAACACGCCTTAACGGCGCCCTAGGGGTCAATAAAATTTCTTATGCAACGATCCTCTAAAATAGTTTGATACATAAAAGATCTCTAGTGTGGCCAACATGTCGCGGATTTGGCCAAGTATGTGACAATCGAGGTTTAGCATCTATCATAATTTTTACTCTATTCATTCTAAATTGTAAGATGTTATAACTTTTTCTCAATACATTTCTCTAGTTATGTATTAAGCTATAATGCATATCTAAAACGTCTTATAATTTGGAATATAGATATTTGTGTAAACTCGTTGAATACTTTTTTTTGAGATTAACACGTTGAATACTTGAATGTGGGAGAAGAATATTTTTAGCTTCTTTCGAGAGAGAAAAAAAGGAAAGTCCAACTGAAAAGCCCTTTGTGTAAGGATAATTTGTAAAATGCATCTTTGCTTGCAAACGCAAAAGCAAACCCCCCCAGCACATTGTTCGCGCGCCGTGGCTAAGGACTCCGCTCCCATTTCCCAACGAGAATCAAACACCACGCAGAAAAACTCCGCTCCCATTTGAAAATCCTCGAACTCGTGGGGCTCGCCACCCGCCGTGGCCGCGGAGAGGCCTGATCGCCCTCTCACCGCCGGTGAGGCAGGGACGTGGGAGCCGCCGTCGCCCGCCGGACGCGGCGGGCGCCTCCAACGACGCATCCACCACTCCTAGCTAGGTGAGGCACTCGTGCTCCCCGCAGAGTTGTTCCCATTTCGTCTAGCTAGGGTTAGTATACGCGCGCCGGTGCTAGCCGTGTTGCTACCCTTAAGGTGATCGATTATGTTTCCGTGGGGATGAATTATTGGCCTGGGTTAATTTGGTCAGCGGAAACTGTGGACGAACGGATCAATCGAGGAGTCGGTTGGGGGTTTCTCCTTGAGGAATACGAAAACAAAATAAATGAATCATGTACTGTACAGTGCAACAACGGAGCAGCTCTTGTGTTTTTCTGAAGGCACTACACCACAACACCGCATCACCGTCAGACATCTGACGCTAAAAATTATATTTATCAATGGATGATCTGTCGCTAAAGATAACTCACGGATCATCTATCGCTAATTCTATGTTTACCGATGCACTATATGTCGGTATATGCATTTAGATTCACCATTGCCTTGTCAGTCACTAAAAGCATCTATATCGTCGTGTGGTATGTCGCTAAAAAATGGACCCACCCAGCCCAGGTCATGGGCAAATTTCAGCCCAACCCACGAGCATACAGGGCAGCCCTAGATTCTGTTACTCCCCCCAAATCCCAAATCAGCGCCGCCACCCCCCTCTCGTCCCCCTCCCGATTCCCTCCCAGCCTCCCCAAATCGCCGCCCCCACCACCAGTCTCCCACCAAGAAGAACTCCACCGCGCAGATCCATCTCCTCCTCGGCGCCTTTCTCCGCGCCTCTCCTGCGCCTTCCTCCTCTCGGCCTATCGTCCTCACTATGGTGGGCCGAGGGGCGGCGTCGGGTAGACGACACGGTGGCGGTGGATCTGGCGCACTGGCTGAGGAGGTGGCAACGCGGGCCGGGGAGGAGTCGGCGGGCTCAGGACGCCGTGCCACGGGCCAAGAAGGCAACAACGGTAGATCTCCCGTGCGGGCCAAGCACACCGCCGGTGGATCTCGCGCCCCTCCTCAGTTCCACGGAGGTTTGTTGGTCCCTCTTCTCTTCTGTTTCCCTGTTGTGTAACTCCTAATAGCTTGCGGTCTCTATTGGACAGGTCCTGCTCGAGAGCGTCCAGGAGAAACGGAGCAAACAACGCCTGCCGGCGGCGGGCTGGGCCATGACGCGTTGCCGTGGCTGCTGTGACAGTGTACCTGGGACCTTGTCTTCACCTGATCTACATGTATCTTGAAGTGAGCCTGCTTCTCTCGCCTTCTTGTTCTTTTCCTGTTGTTGCTATGCTTTTCACTGTAAATGACTTCTACTAAATCATTTAATTTTTTTCTTTTCTACGCTGGGCTGGATAGTTAGTCTCTATCTAGAGTTCACTTTAACATTCTGTTGATAATTATCAACAAAACTGGCTACCTTTTTTGCGAGGTTAATACAGAATCGAATATTATATCACACCTTGGCTTTCAGCAAAAAAAATTAATAGACACCCATGGGATTCGTACCATGCAGGCAGGAAAACTTTTCTGCTGATTCTCTCCGATGTGACCAAATTAAAACCTCTCACTGCTGCATGTTTAGCGGCTCAACGGCTTCGCACGGTTCAAAGCAATATATCTCACCTGCGTATGTAGTTGCATAAAGAATTGAAGATTGTTCATTTCATCGGTTCATTCATTAAGATAGCTAGTTCATAATTTATAATTAAATAATTCCATGAAAAAATGAATGGAGTCTATATCTCACACAATGTTCTTTTCTGTAATTTCGGGTTCGAAATAAAATGAGTTCCAAATACACCGGCTGATGGGTGTTCAAGTCTCTAAATCAGCACAGGGTGCTCGTAACTATGCTAACTTTTATTTCTTGACTCCGAAGTTAATCAGCCATGACCGAGACTAATTTAGTGTTTAGGATAAATTTTATTTCTGAACTCTGAAGTGAAACAGTTAATCACTATTGGTTCCTTTTTATTTGTGAATTCTGAAGCTAATTTTTATATGCATATATCAGTGCAACATGGTAGCACCGATGAAGTTATTACTGTTGTTGCCTATTAGTGCGACATGCATATATTCACTGTCGCTGCAATTTGGTCATACATCCAAGGAACATGTACCGACTATAGATTACCTTAATAAAATGTTTTTCTATGTGAAGTTTGCTTGCTCGATCATCTCATTATTTTGTGTTCTGTTGAAATCATAAGTTCATGAAAGCTTGCTCTAAGTATAGGCTTAGCAAAATACAGTGTGTGAGAATAAAGCATAGGTAACGTAAAGAGTATAAACTTTAAGTTAGTAACAAATTAAAAAAATAGAATACCAGAATGGAAATACCTTCTTCAGTTCTGCAAGTTTGTCTTATTAAGCACACAATCAGCGGAACCAATCCACTTTGAAAATAATGTACTTAATTCAGGATTACAAAACCAGATCCAACACCTGGGAGTCACACCATTTGTTGTATTCTGGAATTTAGTTGGCCACTTCTGCCAAAGAAACAGAGCAGATGATGAATGATGGCATTTGCCCAAACCATTTTAAGATTAATACCTGAATTAGACTAATCTGAATTTTTACCAAGTCTTGATCTGAATCATACAACACCTGGGAGAGTGGGAGTCACTCCATTTGTTTTGTTCTGGAATTTAGTTGGCCACATCTGCGAAAAAAACAGAGCCGATGATGAATGGCATTTGCTCAAATCATTATAAGAACAATGGAGACATAAGATTCAGATTCTCGCAATAATACATGAATTATACTAATCTGAACTTTTAGCATGACTTGATCAGAATTATACTATCTCGTATAACTTTCATTACCTGCTGTTCTAAAAATTTCTTACAATATTTTGTTTAGATCCCAAGCTCTTATTACTGATGAGAAGCATGTCAATATGTCATAAAGCTCCAGGGGCTGCTCCAAACATCTAGTAGCTTTAGTTCTTTAGCAAAAGCAAGTGAACAAAAGCACCTCAGCAGCTTGGCTCTTATCCCAGGTGAGCAGCGGCAGCAGCTTGGCTCTTATATTTGAAACTTGTGCTGAATTGGAGAAGTTACTAATATGAATTTTTAAGAAGTCATGATCTAAATTATACTGTTCTAACATTTATACTGTCTTCAGGAGTTACGAACTTGCTTGAATGGCAAGTAGTAAGTCAATAACAGTGAAGGTGAGCTCAATTGACTTGTTAGATATCTCAAATATCTGATGCTCAACTATTGTCTTGAGTGTTGGGCCTCAAACAATGTCGCTACCTGTGAAATTTTTATTGCATATGTGCAATAGTCAAGTTAGCTGCTGCAGCTATCAGTCCTCTGCGTTTAAATTGACACTGGCTATGTCATCTAGGATCTATGTTTTTGCATGTTTTTTGCTTTATGCTTGCACATGGCTAATGCTTAATTGAATGGTATAAGATAAAGGTCTATTTGTTTTGTAATGTTCACTGGTACCTTTCG